CTTAGGTTTAGGATTAGGTTTAAGGTTTGGGTCCGTTTTATAATCAAATAACGGTGTACAACAATAAAATAATCTTGCAATCACAGGACCAATAGTGTATAGGACCAATACAATGTAATCGTTATCATCACGAGATCAATAGAGCAGTATTTAATTAATACAGCCTAAAACTATTATTTTCTTATTTCCAGGTTGAATTTCTGTTAAAACAAGGTATCTAGTATCTACTAATTAAAAGATTATGTCACAACTTACGAGGCAGTTCCGAAAAGATAATAAATCAAATTTCTTTTCTTGACGTAGGTTAATTGAACGAATTCCTTTGATGTGTTTAATATGAAGAAGCCATATAAATAGACACCAAATGAAAGCTCAAAATGAAAGATGTGATTTTGTTTTTAAGTTATTTAAAATCTTGTGGACCACAAAATGTTAGAAATTCCAACGCATGCTGTCTGATCCTAGCAATAAGACTGGTATGGGAATTAGACTTTCTCTTTCAGAGCCCCTTCTCTTTGGAGGGAGGGGGAGCGGGTAGGGGGGGGGGGGTAAGAGTGTAACTGATTGTGTGATTTTGATGCTGGAGTTCTTCATTGACATTGGTTGGATTTTACTTTTTTTCCATATTCTATTAGTGAAAAAACCCATAGCTAGAAGAATGTAAGCATAAGGGATAAATGGAGAAAAAACTCAATCCGGCCCCACTGTTTGGTGAAATTGCAGCCAAATTGTTTCCAAATATTTGAAGGTATTCCTGACTTGTTTGCCGAGTCTTGTTTATTCAGTAGCTGAGAATATAAATACTCTTTCAGATGGCAAAGTAAATGGATTTGGAACAAATATTTACGACGCTAAAAAAGGGTAATTTGTACACGGGTGGAACAAACGAGCTATTTATTGAATAACAATGCTTCATGACGTCAATGTCGTCATGATATATTACTTTGTTGATACTTGCAAATTGATCAATTATATTTGAAAAGACTTCTAATTTCTTTTTGGACGATGATGGATACTGAAGGATAATACACAAGTCGGGCAATTCTGCATTTCCATAAACAGCTGTAGGCCGTGATTATGGCAAAACGAAAAAGGCCAAATGAGTATTACACATGTACCGCATATTATTGTAAATTTGAGAAAACCTTTATTCGGTAAACATGCTGCGTACTAAACTCGATTTGCTATATTTGGTATACCGTTAAGTTTGGGGAAGAAAACAAACGAATGTCATCGAATAACCATATGGTAAACTCGACCTTTACTCTCTGCTCTTCAAACAAAAACGATCTATTTTAGGGTTGCTGAGCTTTCTAACTTTGAATGACCCTTCACGTGTCAAGGGAGGTCGAAAGTACCTCATGAGTGCGTCTATACATGGAAAGTATAAGACCGTTGTCTATACCAGTATTTTGTTGTCCTGATCGAATTACCCTTCGACGTTAAAGGTATAGACCAGTTTTGGAAACGCCCCTTCTCAAAAATGAAATGGAAGCTCTTATTGCCAATTAGAATATGTTTTGAATAATACGTGATGATACAAATTTTGCTGGGAAACCGCCTACTAATATATTTGGTAAATTATTATATCTATCCGGACTGGATAGATATCGCGTAGTCCCATATGCATATTTTTGTGTACAGTGCTTGTAACTTTACCAAGACTGGGTCGAATTTCTTATCATTTTGATGATTCCAGAACCTTGCAGTACACACCAATACTTATGAGAGATGATCAACCTTTTCTGATCGATTCCACAACGTTTCTTTCACAATGCAATCGCATGTCCAGGACTGGTATATACATGTACCTTTAATACTAGGTTGCTCTTATCCAGGTATTTGCTGTCCATATTGCATGATGCCCCTTATGACGTCAATATTCTCACAGTGTGTGTGTATATGTACGGTGAAATAAAATCGAGCGAGGTTTTGACGCAACTCTTCGAAGATGAAAAAACAGAACGTACCTTTTGATTATCTCTTTAAAGATAAAGACCAGTTATGGTCATGCGATTGCATTGTGAAAGAAACGTTGTGGAATCGATCAGAAAAGGTTGATCATCTAGCATCTAGCATCTGCAAGGTACACGAATCATCAAAATGATAAGAAATTTGGCCCATTCTTCGTAAAGTTACAAGCACTATACACAGAAAGATGTATATGGGACTACCCTATATCTCTCACAGACCATGAGAGAAACAAATTTACCAAATATATGAATTAGTAGGCGGTTTCCCGGCAAATTTTTTATCATCATGTATTAGTCAAAACATATTCTTTCACATGATTGGTAATGAGAGCTTCCATTTCATTTTTTGAAATTGGGGCGTTTCCAATACTGGTCTTTACCTTTAAAGGTACTATGTCCCATTTGCAGGCCAAAAAAATGAAAAAGTTAAATTCCAACTGCATTTGAAAGATAATAATAATTTAGAACTTCCATAAAAAAGGTGGGGCTTGAAAATGTCTTCAAGTGGGAAAATAACGACTATTAGTTGTCAAATCGACTTCAGGGCTATAGAGCCCAAAAGTAATAGTCTTGATTTTCAGACAATTGTACCGAATGGTCATACGTTTTATGCTGCGCAAAGATTCAATCAGTTTAATCTTGACCATCACAAGAAATGGGTTATAAAACAAACTCATGTACCCTTTACAACTCTTTTCATGTATGTTATTACCAAAGAAGAAAAAAAGCCAGTCAGTCACTCAATAGTGTCCTACAGTGAAGTCTAGCAAGTAAACGGGTTTCCTTGCATAATTTGAATATGAGGACACTGCTAACGTTTAAATTTCACAGATAGGACATACATGACATATTCATAATTCCTGCAAAGTTCTACAGAATCTGAGGTTGGCTGCAAAAGGGACATAGTACCTTTAATATGGAGCTTATGGTATAGACAGGCTTGATATTTCCGTTTAAGAGGCACAGAGATCGAGAGGGGGGGGGGGGGGGGGGTGGACTGAATAGAAGGATAATGGCAGAGAGCAACAGAAAGAGGGAGAGAGAGAGAAAAAGGAGAGTGTGTATGTGTGTGTGAGAGAGAGAGAGAGGGGGGGGGTAGGGCGAGCTTGATATGGTTTATTCTTTCATCTTTCATCATACCTTCACTCAACAGACATGATTAATATTTGAGTCCTGCATACGTGACTGCATGGCTAGCTCTCAAACCTCATGTGTATTGGTATTTCGCATGCACAGTAAATATTCAGACTTGCTTCATCAATAAACCAACAATGATGTTTTCCCCGAAATACTAAAATATAAACATTGCCCTTCTATTTTACGCCGAATCCTGTCTGCCTCGTTAAATCATATTTGTTCAACTCATTCTGTATTTCAATCGCATAAGTCTGTTTCATCCATACCCAACAATGATTTCGTTCACCTTGTTGTATTTCCCCCAAAATATGAAAAAATCTGACCCCTCTTTTTGACCCGTAACCCCAATTACCCACCTTCACCCCCCTCCCTACGACGTGCAGACGGCTGACGAATTTATCACGGTTATTGAACCGCTACAATATCGACACAAGTGGGCGTGGCTGCGTTAGTGACTATCACCGCTATTTGTATCGCTTGCGAAACTTGTGATACTCTAACAATAGGTTATTGATTATTGGCAAGTTCGCAATGCAATAGATGTCTGCAATGAGTTTGCAACGTATCAGGTGGAGCCTATTTTTAACTATCTGTATAGAGTGAATAGAGTCCTAGTCTTTGTTTCGTTTCTTGCAAAATTAGGTATGGAATCATTGAGTTCTCTTTATAACTCTATCTACTATAAAAACAAGAGTACGCTCAAATAAGTACTCTTACAAACCAACTACAATTAGCTCACTGTGAATAGTATACAAACAAAACTGAAACTCTCAGCTTCTTGCAAACTTCATTGTTAGGAATCTCAAGTGCACTTTTCACATTACTCCCAGAAAGTGGAATCAACAAAGAACTATTTATATGCATACTCTTAAACATTTCAAGTGTTTCTGTAAATATATCTGAATGAAAAACTAATTGACCGTTCAAAAGAACGCCCACTTTCTCATGAGACTGAGTGACGTGTATATACAAAATGTATTCAAGAAGTGTTTTTGCCACTTTGTTTTTTTATTTCGTATATTACAAAGCAGGGTAATTAATTCAGTAAAAGTGGTCTTCCATGAAGCCCTGTGATATACAACAAATATAAACAATAGACTAAATTACAATCGACAAGGACAAATATTTTATTGATTGACAACATCAATCAGCAACAACGGCAAAGTTTTATTATGACTTGATAGCCCGCCCTCTGCATTTCAATACCTCCCACGACTAATCATTTTTTAATGTTAGTGTTATATATTTAAACAAATGCACTGCATGTTTACAAGCAACCAACCAAATAAAGAAACAAACAAGCAAACACAATCAATAGTCGATTAATTGTTTTCCCGTAGTTTCAAATTTGTCGTGGATACAAATCCAGCAATGAAAGAGAAAACCTAATCATCAAATAAATTCAATCTTAGAAAACAACCTTATTATCAAAGAAAACCTGATACAGAAAATATGAAAATGCATATGCTTTTTAAAGTAAAATTATGATGAATTCGTGGAGCTGAATTATATTGATTAATTTATTGTTCAATGTAATCAACTATAATTGTTCATCCATTTAGTTCTACCCTTAATAATTCCCTCAAAATAGGAACCGTGCTATGGATCGCCAGGAGTGTCATGACAGATGTGAGCGCTATATTACTACAGTCAAACCTGCTCTAGTAACCACCTGTCTACACCGGCCACGTTTTTTTTTGTTTCTGTTAAAAATGGTTTCTATTGAAACATGTACTGTACTAAAGGCACGTGTCTACAAAGACCACCTGCCTATAAAGACCACTTTTCTTGTCTACCTTGGGTGGTCTTTACGGACAGGTTTTACTCTATATAATACCCATTAATTGCATTTTTGTTGACCTAATTCAATTTTTTAATTCTTTTTTTTTTCCTTCTTCTCACCATGTAGGTCTCTCGCATACTTTAAGACCGTCCGGATTCTCCTTCCGCCATCTTGGATGAACGGTACAGATGTTGCCACGGCAACGTGGGAACGCTACTCTACCAGTGACGTCAGAATAGCACCAGCCAATGAGAACTTTCCTTACACAGAGAAGTTTACAGGGTGTGGTTTACCCGGGAGGTTTATCAGCTTGACCCCGGGTTATATCAGCAACAGGAAAGTTGGACTGGACGCGCTTCATGATATCTATGGCACTCCGAATAAGGTGGGTGCCATTATTGTTTTTAAGAGGATTGATCATCCTGATTCTATCGAATTAATGAAAGCATAACAAAATGAAAGATGAAACGGATTGGTTAAAGTTGTGGAAAGCCCGACAAAACGATAAGAAAGTTATGTCACGGCTTCTTCCAGGGTCAATGGCTTTCATTAGCGAGGAGGGGGGGGGGGGGGGGGGGGGGGGGGACTGATCTTCTCTAAAAATGAAATGCAAAATTCGTCGCTGTTTTCACGAAGTGACGGTAGTGAAAACAAATTGCATTCACTTTGCGTTACGATTTTCCTCACTACCGTCACTTCGTGAAAACAAGGACGAATTATAAGGCTGCTGATTAGGGAAAGGTGCGAGAGGGCGTCCTACCATGCTCTTTTTTTGTTGTGTTCCCCTTTTCAACTTCCATTATTCTCTTTATAATCTTTTTGGGGTCCTACTTTTCATCTTTCTTTTGCGCCAATCGGGGGGGGGGGGGGGTCAGACCTTAAGCTCTTTCCTGAATGGAGGCCTGATTTGTTTGTGTATCTATAAACGCTTAACTTTGAATATGCCATGCATTTCACAATTTAATATTTCTTATATCCTGCCCCCCCCCCCCTCTCTCTCTCTCCCTCTCTCTCTCTCTCTCTCCCCATCTCTTTCTCTCTCTCTCTCTCTTTTTATCATTTTTCACAGGTGATAGTACACGAATGGGGCCACTTTCGATGGGGTCTCTTCGATGAGTATCCCCGGTACGACAGCTTCTATCAAGATCTTGAGACCGGGAACGTTGAAGCAACAAGATGCGTCCGATCCATTCCTGGTAAGTTTTTTTCGGGTAACTTCGTCTCTTTTCTAAAATAAAATGTCGGCTTTGCCAATGATGCCCTCATAATTACGATCATTAAGTTCAGACAAGAATCGATGGAGTGCTATTGGCCAAGACATTAAGACATTAACTTGAGATAATATGACTGGAAATTCAAAATACTACTATCTACACAGTGCAACGATTTTTTTTCTTTTCCCATCAATGATGGACGAACTATGTTTCATCACGTGACTTACTTTTCACCAATCGTAGCGCAAGATTCTTTGTATGTGGAATATAATAACGAATATTTCTCAGAAAACAAAAATATAAAAGACGAACAATTTCAACAATTAAATGGACAGGGAAAGAAGAGCTAGAGCTGATGGAACCAAGACGCCCTCTTCTTAGGGAGGGGGAGGGGTTCTTGTTGCGTACTTATAACGGCCATTGAGTAGGAAAGGGTCCCCAGCCCGGTTAGAGATGAGCACAATATGACCAATACTGTTTTGTTTGGCGAGCAACAAAACACACCCCACAAAACCTCCAAAGAATAGACGCCATGTTGGGACCAACTGAAAGCAAGTTGGCCCAACTCTGTGTATAGATGACTCTGAAAGCTAGGCCTCACATACCCCTTTAAAAACGACAATGTGTTGCGTCGACGTAAGCATTTTAGCACTCAAGCACGTTATCACGCACTTATCACATCGTTAAAATACCGCGTTAATCAGAGTCGAGTTTGTTTAAATTATTATCAGGTGTGGCATAGTATTTGAAAAACGGTAACAGCAAATAGACTGCATGAACTGTATACCAAAGTTATCTCCCAGCTTTATTACTTCATCAGTCACTCCAATATTTTTATGTCGACGTTGGAACATGTGGATAACAATATGTACTTGGGAATGAAGATACAACAAATTGTATTCTTAAAGTTTAATTCATTGCTATTCCATTGCACAGAAGATATATAATTATAACGGCACTAACAGTTATATAACATTGGTCATTCTGTGGATAAAGGCTATTCTTTTTAAACATCTGTGATTAATTATTTGCACGGATAAGAACGCATTTATATTCCATGCATAATCAATCAATGAATTAAAAAGGTACATAGAGTTATATGAAATGGAGTCGTTTAGGCCTAGTATTAATACATAGTATTGAAAATCTGAAAATTGTACGGTTAATAACAATTAACATCACCTGAGTTAATAGCAATCACATCTCGATCCTAATAGGAGACCCAAGAATGAACGTCGAAGATTCTTTGTTTTAAAGATCCAACATAACTAATGATAATCTAATTTCTCTCTCTCTCTCTCTCTTTCTCTCTCCTTTTATAGGTGAGATACGGAATATCCGAACTGGTAAGCCATGCGGAGTGGATGATTATAACAGCGATGGACTGCCCGACTCCTCAACGTGTGTATTCATTGACGATATGGAAGCGAAGACGTACAGTGCGTCCATCATGTATAAGCAATATCTTTCTAATGTAAGTTGCCCTTTAAAACTTCATGTTTTGTATTATTTCGAACGTGTTTCCCTTTAAAATTTCATGTATAATTTCAAACGTATTGAGCGCTTTGTTCAGTGAACTATTATAAGAAATCGGTACTATGTATTAACATAATGAACAATTGTCTAAAAAGAGATTTGATGCAATGATGTAATTCAATGAAATCTAATACCCGTAGTTTAGTTTTGCATATTTCAAAAGCAAGGGCCATTTCAAAATAAACGTTTATTAATTTATTTTAAAATTTAGTTATATTTTGTTTTGTTTGCAATTATTCAATCATTTATTCAAAATTATTAATTTCATCTTATTTCATAGCCAGAAAAAAAACTAGCCTAACAATAACAACGAATACAAGAAAGAGAAGTACAATGAAACGTCTTAGTACCTGTATTAGTTAGTGTTTTTCCCCAATATAATTATTCTTTTTGAATGTGTACCGCAAGACTCATAAGCAGTTATCCAATTGCATCCTCTTGTGGTTATGCTGTAAAAATATATATTTCCCTATATTGTAATACATACATTTCTCCCTGTTTCTTGAACATTTAATAATCATAATTATGTATATGATATCATTAACGTTGTTTCAAATCCTTACTCAGATAAGGTCTACTATAAAAATGTTTCAATTGAAATTTTGATTGAATATCCTTCTTCTTCTTCGTTTTATAAATACTTTACAGAATGAGCAGTTTTGCGATGATCCCACTCGCCCCGGTGTACCAGATACAGTCGCACATAATCCTATGGCACCTAACGAACAAAACAACAAGTGTCAGCAGCGAAGTTCATGGGAGGTTAGCATATTAAGCATACCAACTTTATCCTGAGCATTTAGGCATATCAAAAACAATCTCAATTACGGGAAACCGACTTTCTAGTCCACTGCAAAAGTTTTGAAGGCTTTGACTGTAAAACGACGAAACTGTTCTTATTTTAAGTATCTCTAGATAATATATAGGAGGTGCAGATTGTTTGGATATCCCTGTAAGCAATTCTTCAGTCTGGGACATTTTGTTGTAAATTTCAAAAAAGACTGTTTGCTTCAATTGCTAGATGTATATATTTTATAACAGCCGTTGAAAAATAAGGAACATTGTCAGCATTGATGACGAGAAATAATATTTACTTTAAAATATTCGTTTTGAGGTTTGGGTGCTGGTGGTGCGGGTTTAATATCAATTATCGATATCGGTGGCCCCTATTCCTATATTCTATTTGTTGGGTAAACTATGCAAGTAATACATTGATCTTATAGATCTTATTGATCAACCTAACTACGATAGACAAATAAGATTTTCCTTAGTAACATTCCGAAAAGATCGTTGTTGGGCATACTTCATTTTCAAATACAACACAAATCTTTTCAAAATCGTATGAACGCTTTACAGGTACTGCGTGCGCATCCTGACTTTGAGGACACGGATAGTCTCGATCCCAAACCCGTTCGTAGCACAGACCCTGAGTTCATCATAGTACGACAGAAGCTGCAGACTACGACTGTCCTTGTTCTCGACATATCGGGCAGTATGGAAGGAGAACGACTGGTGCTCCTCCAACAGGTGGGTATTTAAAGTCCCCATGTACTACGTATAGCTACTTGCGCCCTCTTTATAGTAAACAATGCCTAATCGGTGACCGTTGGTCCCCCATGATCTCCTTTTTAACATGTTAATTGAGAGCTAATTTGATGAGATAACCATCTGTCAGTGACCATGCAGGGAGGTCTGATCCCTAGTAAACTAGTGCAGAGGGTCTTTAACAAAATGTTTCCGAGTGCTTTACATTATCATTATCCTTACCCCGGTCTTTGGATTCAATTGCAAATCCGCACATAATAGTGCACACGCTCCGCTCCCTGGGGAGCATTCCATTTTACAAGCGCATACATACCAATCCAACACATTAACATTTGCATCCTACCCATTTTAACACCTGGGGGGAGAGTGGCAAAGATGTAACTAGTGCCTTGCCAAAGGACATTAGTGCCGTGGCTGGACTCCAATGTGACGTATCCACCAGACCACGACACTTCTAATGCCTCTTAGATAGTAACGTTGACCCTCGCCCTTTCTGTATTTCTTCTTCCTGATCGTTTGCAGGCTTCGGCGAACATCATTGAGAACGTTCTCCCCATGGGGTCACGTCTCGGCATCATCGCCTTCAGCGAGTACGCCACCGTGCGCCACGACATCGTCGAGATCGACTCGCAGGACACGCGACGGTCTCTGTTGAACAGCCTGCCGAAGAAAGCGGACGGGAGAACGAGCATCGGCAGAGGTACGGATCACCCTCATGCACTCGTTTCACCATGAGGCGTCATTTGACTGACGCATCCGCTTGCGCCAGCTCTCATGACCATTGGCAGGCCATCTAAAGCAGGGCTCCCACTTAGCTGAGTTGGAACCTCGAGTTGTGGCGAGCTGGCGAGATCTTTTGGCAAGCCGTTTTATTATTAATTGATATCAAGAAATAGTTTTACGTTGTAAAGCAATGGTAATTCTTGATATCAAGAATTCGATTTCGACGTGATATCAGATTGAATTCTTGATATCAAGAAATATGTTTTAATTATAAAACGGCTTGCCATAAGATGGCGCCAGCTCGCCACAACTCGAGACTCCAACTCGGCTACGTGGGAGCCGAGTGATATTAACACGATCTCAACTACTTTTTCAAAATCAAGTAATATGCCAGTGTGATGATACGAGGCTATTTGAATAATCTTAGGTAGATTTTTTGAAAGACCTTGCTATCGTGATTATAGTACAAAAGTCGAATGCGAAATGATTATTTAAAGAGCTTGTCAGGACATATTTTGACAACCCACCCTCACACACGAAAAGAACAAACTACCGCTTAGAAAGCTAGGCTATTATAAATATCACCCACGTATACGACAGTGACCCCACCAATATTACGAGATTGTAAATCACTTGAGGTAATTATTTACCTTGGGCTAGTGGTCTAAAGTACTTGTGATGCTGATGATTATGTTCCTAGAGGCAAAATCCTTGTCAAAAATTTCAAATCATTCGGGTAAATGTCCGGGGGTACTTGTCCAGTATAGGTAGTTCTTTCCTGAGGAGTTGGCCGCAGCATGATTTGCTAAATGAAGTTGTCCAGGGGGTAGCTATCACGGCGGTAGTCGTCCGGATTTCAGTCCCCCCCAGTTACCTGTCATTAAGATCAGGTGAATGCTCTTTGCAAATGATACTGCTATTAGTGAAATCATAATTTCTGATTTTTAAAAAAACACTTTTTCCTCAACAGGTGTTGAATTGGCAGTGCAAAAACTCCGTGAATACGAGAGTGACCCAGCCGGAAGTACTCTCATTGTGATCACCGATGGGGAACAGAACTCTCACCCTTACATCCAAGATGTCTTACAAAAGGTGAGACCAAGAACCGTACAGTACTGCACATTATGTAAGATGCTGTATATTATTATTAAAATAACACTCTGTCTCAGCACCCTTTCGACAAAATGCGTCATCGTAAGATCGTACGGGTAACGAAATTAGGACCAACACTTTGTTTTGTTTGTAAATAGTGCCTGGCCTTTCCCGCCATTTTCTAAGGGTTTATATCCCCAACATATGTCGTTCAGTGCTTAATTGTTGATAAATTGTAAAACTTGTGTACAAATGACACGATCGCCTTTCGAGAAGTCTTTACAACTGTTTAACTTATAGATCTTGTGGTTATGTCGTCAGTTTTACAATTGTTTTATGATTATATTTTGTAATACTTTGGTAAAATATTCCTTTGTTTTAAGAAAATTAGTATTTAATGCCTATCTGCACTAGTTTGGCCGGGAGAGATTAGACCTCTCCGCATGGTCATTGATAGGTGGTTATCTCATCAAATCAGCTCTCAATTAACATAAGAAAAAGGGGACCATGGGGGACCATCGGTCGCCGCTTGGCATTGTTTGCTATATAGAGGGCGCAATAGTTATTCGTAGTGCAGTGGGGCTTTAACTGACCCGTATTGAATTTAATGATGCCTTACAAACTGTCCCACTGATTTCGGTATCGCTCATAGACTGACAACCTGACCGTCAACACGGTAGCCGTTGGTGGGGAAGCAGACGGAGAGCTGGAACTTTTAGCTGTGCACACCGGGGGAGATTCCTTCTCACACACCGACAAGTCCAGCGAAATCTATTTGTCTTTCTTCAAGGCGGCTGCCGCTCAAATGAGTAAGCAATTAGTTTTGTTTTCATTGCATACTCACTTTGATACTCGAATTATCGGTATTCCTTACACTTTTGAATTTACACTTAATTTTCGGGGATTCACAATAGTGATCACTTCGAGTTTCTACGGGATGTACACGAACTTAGACTTATGACGGGTTTCGAGAAACCAGCCCCCAAATCCACTCTCAAAATAGTTATTTAACTCCTACCTTGTAGCGGATGCCACTATAATGTGGCGTGGTTTCCACTATAATTTGGAGTGGTTTTCAGTATAATTTAGAGTGTAATCAATTTCAAATGAAGGGATATGACTCTCCAGAGAGTGCATGTCCATTCATTTGCATTGAGAGAGGACTTTAGCAAGTTCAATGCAACTACAGAAATATCCAAAACATAGTTACTTTCAATTTGTTGAAGTTGCTTTATTTGTCACATGAGAGACATAGCTAGGAACAAGAATGTAAAAAGCACATTAACAAAATGTTTCTACAAAGAACACAAATCACATTTCACAGATCGCTTCTTATTTTTTAAAGCAGCTTCCATAACATTCCCTTTTCTACAACTATGATATCTGATATCGAAGTGTTAACTACATGTAAAATGAAATATACCCTCTACCCCCTTTTAAAAATAGTTTTCACTGTCCTCCAATAACCATGATAACCTCGTTTTCCTCGAGTCTTCTTCATCACCTTTCTCCTCTCGACCGCACAGCAAAACTTCTAACTTCCATTATAAAGCTCTTATAATTTTTTCTAAAATGTCACTCTTACTTTTTGCCTTTTATTTGGGTACATTATTTTTATTCAGTGGTATTCTAATATATGTGTTACTTTCTATAATTTATTTTGTAAGAAAATTACATTCTATGAGCTATTAAACGTACATATTCTAGACAATCTTGTTAACATATTGAGATAAGTATGAAATAATTCCACAACTTAATGTACTTCAGGTATTTTCTTAAATTCTAGAGGGCTCACTATATCATTATTTTAAAGCGATAATGTAAAAAAATATATGAATAAATAAAAATCATATCAAAGTAATTTAATAACACTCCTTTCCGTCACATCTTGTTGTCATGTAGGTGGAGGAAAGAGTAAGTTGAACACAACACTACTTGTTAGCCACATAGTATCGTTGCTATATTAGAATGTTTTAAAATTCCATAGCATAATTGTTTCGAGCCAGTAGTAGTGTTCGACTTTTGCACTTTCACACGTGCTTGCTAGCTTGTTTTAAAGCTAACTCTGATTTTTCCTTTTCTTTCAATCTTAACAAAATATTTTGCAGTCGCATGAAATATATAATTTTGCTCCTTGAGCGTTTTTTCATACGATTTACCGCACATTTTTATTTGTAGCTGTAGTATACTCAGAAAAATAATCTCTGATCACTTGCAGACTAAATATCACAATTGTTTATGAACACATCAGGATACATAACCAGCAACTCCATTGTAAAGCACTGCATGCCTTGCTTTGGTTTTCTCACTATTTTGCATTGTACTCGTACTTACGAATTAACAAAAAAATGCTGTATGAATTACTAAGTATGGATTAATTAATCCAACCAACAATAACAAGATATGTAATTGAATAGTTATTTTTTGGCTACAAGACCACCAGTGTATAGTTATAAAGCAATACAAACACTATGCGGTTTTCTTTATTCTAATATGAATCAATTGACTAATAATGTTGAATGGGGCCTTAATTTCTTAAGCTAACGATTTTTTTTTTTTTAAATAAAAAAAGGAAAAGAAAAACGCACTTTCAAATCGTCTGTTGATTTAATGCATTAATTAAAATCAATTGTAATGAGTGCTACCCTAGCAATATATTCTGTGTGTGATACTTTCATGCAAAATAATCATATTTAACACAAACATTTATAATAATACAACATTTGGAGCGTCTCTTTTTCCTTTATTTTCCTTCACAATTTCTTTCTCTTGGGATTTCAGATGGAACTGCGATACAAAAATACTTTAGTCTTTTAACCGTGTAAAGCCATGCAAAGCAAAAAGCAAAAGTATTTCGTGTCAACTCAGTGCTGTTACAATATGTAGAGATTTATATCATATTAGATCATTGGATACTTCTTGTCACACAGATGATGTCATATGCTTTATTTCCATTATAAACTGTTTCGGCCAATGCAGAATGAAGCAAAAAGAAGTTGTTCTGGCGAACACAGAAGAAAGCATGAATAGAAATAGAAGGGTACTTTTTTCATAGTTTAAGAAATGCACCCTGACAATATTCTTGTACAATTGTATGATATCATTAGTGATTAAATCATGACTAAATCGCGAAACCTATCCCATGCTTAGGTCAATCCCAGGTCACGGACACCGTCATCGACGCCGACTTCGTCTCCATCCCTCTACGAGAAACCTTCACCAACAAATTCCACCTGGACGACGCCCTCACCGGTGGTCTTAAGATTACCATCGCGTACATCTGGACCTTGAGGCCTGCCGATGTGTCCTTTCTGCTGGTCCGGCCAGACGGCCTGCCGTTCCATAATTCGAATTTGCGTCCTCCTCGTTTCACTACGGAACCTCGTTACAAGCAGATCAAGATCAATCTCGGCGCAGATGATGTTGTGGTAAGTATAGTCTATGAAGCATTCTTAGGAAAGGCTGTGGAGGGTCTTCAAGTAGTCTACAGGGCGTCTTCGGGGAGACAGCTGGAGAAAATGCAGGAAAATTAAAAACGCACACTAAATGGAGGGGGAATTTCAATCTATATTTGCAGTAACAAGATTAATCTATCTATGAAATGCCGAAGAATTAAGGGACTTTGAATAAAATAATCTACAAAAAATATTACTGTAACATTTTATTGGTGGGTTAAATATGAGGGAAATGGAAATAAATCTGATTTTGAATAACATATATGGCGAGGAACAAGGAGAGGTGGACGATGAAAGGAAAGGGTAATGAAGAAAAAAAGAGATCAATACAAAAAGAAAGACGAAGAATAAAAGAAAAATTAAATTATTAAACAGATGATGATAACTAAGTAGGGAACAAAAATCGAATATTCTGACTAAGAACTAAATTGAATTTAAAATATGGCGATGAAATAAATAACAGTGACAATAGTGATCGTTTAGATTTAAAAAAACAAAAACATTTAGGCCAAGAACTAGTAAAAGAATGTCACTATCTTTCACGAATTACTCAAAGATTTTGTTAGCACCAACGCTAAACATATCTTTTGATTCTGTTCCTCACAGGCCGGCGAATGGACATTAAACGTGACTAACCAAGGTTCGTTCCAAGATGATTTCAACATCGTCATCCAACCACGAGTCAAAGAAGGGACCACGCCCATAATAGCCACCGCCCAGTGGGCGGTGCCTTCTGTAACCCCGCCCAATCGACAGATCCTGTTTGTCTTTGTGCAACAAGGTGGGTTTATATGGAAGGGAAACTGCTTCGAATACATCAGCTTGCCTGGTATTCTAGTAATCCTTTTATTAAAACGGTGGTTTTAAATTTTAAAAATCACAAACATTAAGCAAAGCTGGCTGGAGGTGGTTTCGACACTGCCCCTCCGCCCGCGAGGAGCCGATCCGATATGCGTGGGCTAAATTATGGCAAGTATACACCGGCGCTGGCGTCACACGCGCCGGTGTCCGTCTCCATAACGCGATTAGTATACTTGCCATAAAGCCCGATGCATATCGGATAGGCTACCCGCGAAGTAATTATACATCGATGTTGGTCTTCTTTCACAAGAAACGTGTTCATACTTTTGTATTCGTTGCATAATAATTATTAATTTAGTGACGTCAGGTGACAAGAGTTTTCACCCAAATACCAATAATGCTATCAGAATTTTTGATGCCCATCAAATGGTACCATGCTATAATAATCACGTAGACAATTATGTATTATATCTGTTAAAAGACCGTGTACAATTCCGACGCACAAAGAAATATGGGAAATAAAACATGTCATGCCATGACAATATCGTTACATAGTTGAAACACCCGTTACGTAACGGAGAGGAATACCCTTTCACCATTAAATAATATCACTGTATCGCTATTAATCTATACATTACTATCGTTACGTAGGTGACACACCCGTGACGGAGGCGCGAGTACAGGCTCAAGTGAGACTGAACACAAATGCTCAAGAGAATAACACCGTCACCATAGTGCCTCATGATGACGGCATCGGAGCGGATATTACAAAGGATGATGGGATATATTCGGCGTATTTCACGAGTTTCCTCGGAAAGGGGCGTCATGGTGTCGAGGTAATACATTTATTTAAAGTCTCACTGCACTAGTTATAGCTACTTGCGCCCTCTTTATAGCAAACAATGCCTAATCGGTAACCATGTGTCTCCCTTTTCCTTTGCCAGTGAAATTTCTGCAAAGAAATGTTTATTTATGATAAAGATGGAAACGTACTAGTTAGTATTCTAATTACTTTCACTTCTTCCTGGAAGAGGTTCATAGTAGCAAAATAAAATGAAATGTTGCTCTTAGAATGCTGTCATATTCCAAATTCGAATATAATTTAAAACAATTTTTGGACACAATGCCGGTTGAATACATGGCATGTGTGTGAATTCCTTACACCATTTCTCTGCTCAGTCCTTTTCAGTTTTTGTGATTTTCACCAAGATTAATTTCTTTAATTCGTAAAATTCACAGTGAGTGCACAATGGTATTTAACTATTTCTCTGTACTGCATACTCTATTATATGCTCAATACATTTTCCTTTACAATACATATTGCAATCACATGAAGATGTGACATTGCTTTAAGTCATGTCTGGTATACCCCATTCTAGGATGTTACCGTATTCACGATATTTTTTTAATCATATTTGTTTTGTTGCTTTAGTGGTTACTTATCATTGACAAATTTGACTTTGCTAAACAATGATGATTAATTTCATTAACAATAATTTTCTTCTACCCCTCTTGCGTTTTTTGCAGGTTCGCGTTAGTGCCTCCCACGAAACAAAGCTTTCCAAAGGGGGTCTGGTGGGGTACGGTGCCGCGTCCAATCCCGCCTTTGCCTCAGAAGAACGGACCATAGTCACCGAATACACGGGCGATTTTCAGCGAGAGATCACCGGCGGTAGCTTCGAATGCACCACAACAGACTGCGGGAACAGTACGTTTGCGCACCGTTGGATAGAGGAGGGAATGGGGGGAGGAGGGTGGGGGGGGGGGGGGGGGGCGACCGTGCCACCTTTAGAAACTCAATTGAAAACCAATGTTAGAATTTTGTTAGGAAATGTGCCCCTTTTCCAAAACTAGCCCCCGCCAGTCCACGGGTATCCGAAAACCTCTGCCATTGATGTTCATTTTCCTGGTATATTTGTCTTCTTTTTAGTTGGAAACTTATCTAAATATGTTCCAGAGTGCTCATTTAACATGTAGTTTGGAGGTTCAGAATAACTGTTGTTTATAGTACATATACAAGAAGATGAGTCATTTTAAAGTAAGTTATGAAAGCCAAAAGCTTTTTCTGATAGCTAAATATTAAAGCATGAAACTACCCACTTTAACGACAAAAACGCACACCGTGAACAAGCAAACACAGAAAGTAGAAATTAATTGGAAGCAATTATTATAAAGGCATAATGGTTATTCTTCTCCAACACCTTCCTGATAATTCCTTTCTTTACACATTTGAATTTAACTTTCTTCCATCTTCCCATAAACATTTAGTATTTTCATTCAGATCTGTTTATGATTAACGCGTTCTTTCTGCTTGCAGATTTTAAATCCCACGTCTAGTTCAACACGCGTAATTGTAAAACTAAAGCTACCACTTTCCTCGTACGAAAAGAAACACAAACTGTAACCTGTTTAAAATATGTTGAATGATCATTCAGTATTTGTTTTTTGTTGTTGCAGGTTCTGTAGATCTTTACCCACCCAGCCGTATCCACGACTTGAGTGTTGTACGGGTTCACGACGACTCTTTGGTTTTACGATTTAGCGCACCTGGGGATGATTTAGCAGCCGGTTCTGGTGAGTAATTAAGTCCTCTTTATTTCTTAGTCACTCATACAAACCGACTACAAACCGGGTTCAAATCGACTACAAACCGACTACAAACATACTACAAACAAACCCGAATCGACTACAAACAGACTACAAACATACTACAAACAGACTACAAACATACTACATACAGACTACAAACCGACTACAGACAGACTACAAACCGACTAAAAAGCGACTACCAAACAGATTAGTCTACAAACCGACTACAAACAGACTACAAACAGATTACAAACAGACTACAAACATACTACAATCAGACTACAAACAAACTACAAACGTACTACAAATTTACTACAAACCGACTCTAAAAAGACTACAAATAGACTACAAATCGACTGTAAACCGATTACAAACCGACTACAAACAGACTTCAAACAGACTACAAATAGACTACATACTACAGACAGACTACAAACAGACTACCAACAGACTACAAACATACTACAAACCGACTACAAACATACTACAAACAGACTACACACAAACTACAAACCGACTACAAACCGACTACAAACCTGCTACAAACCGACAGATTGTTGGGGATTCGGTGTACTGTAATTATTTTGATCGGTCTGGGCCCTTTTTGATGAAAATCGTTATCAATAACAAATGACATTTTTTTTTTTTTTTTTTGGGGGGGGGGGGAATAAATATGCTCTCAGTAGGTTATAACAGTTATTGTAACTTGCTATTGATAATAGGTTTTTATAAAACAAGGCCCAGGGGGGTGTTTCACAAAGATCCTAAGTAGAACTTAACACTAAGTTGGACTTAAATATTATGGACAGCCATTGGAGCCTTAAAATGAAATATATTCAAAAGCAGAAATTCAAGTATTTTAGACTTTTTATAAATTCCACAACAAGAACATGAAATCTCCTTGATGATAGAAAATATGAATGATTTGAATCAACATTTTATGCCTTTCAAAATAACTTTTACAAAATATTTTCAAAGATGCTAATGGCTTTCCATAATTTTTAAGTCCAACTTAGAGATAAGTTCAACTTAGGATCTTTGTGAAACACCCCCCTGGTGTCGGTTTCCATTGTGTGACTGGGCCATTACATTTGGTCGAATCGGATTCCGAGGGTGATTCTCATTTAGGTTTTCACAACTAAGAGAGAACTCGGGAAATAGTTCGGAAAAGTTCGGCTAAACTCGTGGCAAGCAAGATAAGCCCTACTCACTATTGTTCTGAACATGTTTAAATTGGTAGTGAATATTTTACGAGTATATGCCGATCTATTCCGATCTATCCCGAGTTGGTGCCCGAGGGTTTTACAAGATGCGTCGACTCGTTTAATGCTACATCTCGACATCAGTCTTATTTTGTTAAATAAACTTTTTTATAATATTTTGACAATAATAATGTTTACCAATAAATTTTACTTCATACACCATCTCCTTGTATTTAGCCTCTGAGCTTCCATTCCCAAATTGTTCATTTTATATCAATTCATGCAAGACTTCCAAAGCTCTATTCTAAACAATGAAGTGCTTTTGAATAAAAATTCCTTTTTGTTTGGTTTCCTTGATGGTACACGCAATCTATCTTTAATTTTGTCACTTTATATGCAAAACACTGTATATTCTCTGCGAAATATAAAAGGGAACGGCTATCTTTGAAACCTTTGAAGGAGATGCTTAAACGTTTTTTATGAAGTTGAGCGGGTTCTTTCTATTAAACGCAAACAAATCGTTGTAGTACTTGGTAAATGGAGACAAGTGTAACTGATGTAACAATGTTTGTTTTACCGATATGTCACAACATGTAGTTTGTTCAAATCTATAGTTTTGTTCTTGCTCAAGAATGATTGAATACTAATTTTCTTTGGAAGAAAATCTTGACCTTCTAATACAAAACATTTTTACCGTCATTAAACAAAATACAGACCGGTCGTTTAGAAAGAATACGTGTATTTTATACTTACGAAATAAGTAATCCTGATATTGCAATAAAAATTAAAATCAGATATGAAAACATGCTACTTAAAACTGTTATCCCTTTTCATTTTTTCCCGACAGCTACAAAATACGAGATACGTTATTCAGCAAACTTTACAGAAATCACCAAGGACTTCCAGTCGAGTAACATCGTCCCTGAAAACTGGATTACCGACTTCTCACATCCCAGAAAAGCAGGAGCAGCGGAAAAGTTTACAATAAAATTATTAGATGACACAGGTGAGGAGAAAATAGTAATGAGGGTGGGTGGGAGGTGTATGTTGGCGTCAATTGTCTATGGGGAGAAAGAATTAAAATGCAAAATAATCTTTGAGCAAACAACTATGAAATTTAAGATATATGATGGAACTAAGATGGAAGACAGACATATAGAGAGAGAGGGAAAATGATGGAAAGAGAAAGATACATACATATATATATATATATATATATATATATATATATATAAAGAGAGAGAGGGAGAGTGAGAAAGAGAGAGAGAGAGAGACGTAGAGAGAGATGGAGAGAGAGAGAGAGAGAGAGAGAGAGAGGGAGAGAGAGAACGGATGAGGAATGAAGGGTTTCCATAATTTTTTTTTTCACTGCCACAATACATGCCAAATATTTATCTCTATTTTGAAGATTTATTCAAATTGTAAGTAGCATAATTTCAAAATTCCTTTCACAAAGTCTGAGTATATATGACATACTTTCAATATTTAGTACGATGTAAAGTAAATTTTATGTATTCTCGATTTATATGTTTTTTAAACAATTGAAAGAAATCAATTAATAAACTTGGTAGACTTTTCTTATCATAAAAATCATATTGGGGGATCAAAGATGCGGAAAATCATTCTTTCCTAAATTAAGTATCAACTTTGTTTCTACTTTGCAGTCGGAACAACCCTAATTTTCGGCATCGTCGCCATCGACGAGGCGAACAATCAAGGCGAACGCTCGAATCTCGTCGTTTTACAGTCGACGCCGACCGCTTCCGCACAAAAGGGCTGGCCCCCGGGCGCCATCGCAGGCGTCGCGCTGTCCATGTTCATCATTCTTTTATGTATACTCATCGTCGGGTTGGTGTATGTTTGGAGGCGGAAAAGTGCGCCATCAAAGAGCCCATGCAACGGCCATCATCCAGTTTCCGTATGACATGGAAGAGTGTTTTCCCTTTAAAAGAAAACGAACAACCCGGCAGAAGTGGCTAGATAACGTCTACCCTTGCACTGTAATGCCAGACGATCAAGTAATATTTGACACTCTCTGATGATGTCATATACAATAATATGATCAAATGACTTTGACCATCTCAATGTCATAGACATTATTCTATTGTTTAAAATTGATGACGTAATTTGCTTGTGGTAGCCGCGGTAATAAGTACTGTGAACTGTACGGTGATGCAACTCTGATGGCAGCAGACAGTAGTGCAAGTTGAGATAATTAATTTCTTTATTATACAGCAAATATGAACGTCTAGAACATGAACATGCTGGAATCAAATTAGATGGAGATACGGAGTTAATATAACCATTTGGATATACAAAGAAAAGACGTTGAAACAGCGAAGATAATCCTAAATTATTTATGCTCTGCAGTAGAAAATGGATTTTGAATGACTGCGGATGACAACGTTGAGGGCAGCATAAAGATGATGAAAACTGCAAGCTTGGCCTTTGAACTTGGTTGATATTAAGCAGAAATGGACCAACACGAAGAGATCACAAAGGCCTGTTTTCATCAGCCCATATTTACAATTAGCGGGATATTTGGTCGAGAAAATCTCCCGATAAATCTTGGTCTTGTTTCCAAATCTCCCGCTATTTATAGCGGGCTAATTTGCGACCGTTCGAGCTAGTTTGTGATGAGCGTATCGGTCTGGTGAGGACGCAATTTCGAGCTTCTGGATAATATATTGAGTCACAAAATTGCGGGTTATTTGGCAAGCTCGAGCTGATGAGAACAGGCCCATGACACTGGTTTGGGTGACTGGACGTATGGAAATGGTTTCGAGTGATACGTCGCAGACTGCAATTCTAGGCACTGGACAACAAAATTGTATTGGTCCTAGAAACTCCTGGCACTGCAGCTCGTGGACTTACTAAATCGTATGCATTTGGAACTGAATGTTTCATACATCATACTAGGATGCGCTAATTGTCGACAATCATTGTGATATCGCTAGGCCAAAAAGCTAATCGACTCTTTTGGTGATATTCTATTTATAATCTGACACCTCTTTCTGCATTATTGTACTTACACAAAAAATGTATGTGTGACGAATGTGACTAAAATACAACATTTTTTGTGTTTCTGTATCCATTTTGAAAGAACGAGGGGACTGTTCACATGCTAGATTGTTTCCAATTCATACTCTTCGTCACATTATTTTGTAACAGTTAATTGTGTGGTACTATATAAAGTTTTTTGGAGTTACAAAATTGAATGATAACTTGTAACTTGGACCGTTTTGTCGAGTCCATTATTTATTCATTTTTATTGTGTCAAAAATGAAAAACTGTCATGCAGCGTATGTTTTTACAAGTGACCGAATATTTGTGTACGTTAAAGTGTGGAGCAACAGTGTACTTTTGCTCTACCTATTTGTATCATTAAGATTATCATGCATTATGTGGGCTACTCTAAATCTTTCAATTATTTTAAATGTCGGCATCTTTTCTGTATTACTTACTACATGGTGGTTGTTATTTACGGTGTGCTCAGTAAAAAAAAAATCACTTCTTTGCAGCTGTCTTTGTCAGTGATTTTTTCGGGGGGGGGGGGGGAGGGGAGGGGGCTAGGTCAAGGGTGCCGCCCGAGTAAAATCGAAAAACTCTTTAGTTAAGCTGATCAGTTGTTCTTGAGACGTTCCGGGCCTCCTCGGAAAACTTTTCGACTTTTTAGACTTTTTAGAATTTAGACAGATGAAATCTTCCCATATATCATGGTGAAATCACTTGGATTTTTTAAAAATGATCTTAATTCATTTCTAAAATATCAGTACATTGTACAGTTTTCATATTAAGCGCTTGCGTGACAGGTAAACAATTCTATTCATGCTAGTTTTACCGATCTCTAAACGTTACAAATTCCAACTACAAAAAGGTTCAGATTCGAACTGTTTTATCATAAATTATGACTGAGATTATCGTGTATTATTTGTATAACTGCTTTGAATGTAGCGAGCAAGGTTGCATTTAGTTTGTCTTGCCAATTTGCTAAGCTAACGAGAATGTTAGTGATTGTTTCAATGTTCATTATTGTAGTATCTAACAAACTTTACATGGAAATAAGAAATATAATACTTTACCTGAACAATTATCACACTGTTTACAGACGTGAATAATCATACATTCTTGTAAAAGTATTTATTGATAAGAAAACATGAGAACATATACAACCTGTAGCTGCATGCCTTAGTGCTGATAGCTCGTACACTTTTTTCGCAAATTAAACGTTTTCGAAATAGCGAGTCGATGTCAATACAGTCACGACCATTTTACACCTTCTCTCCTTTAATATCACCAATTTAAATCTTAATACCAATGATAATCAGATTTTCTTTTCATGAATACGTGCTGCTATCAATGCAAAATGTTTTTGTTGACACTGTTGATTTTCCTTGCAATTATAGCCAAACATAGCATACCCTCCAAAAGGGAATAATGCCAATCTTGTATGTGTATTTTTGAAGCCAAGTGTACAGGCTTTTTGTATATTGTGTAATATGTTATGTCTTATTTATCTGCATTTTCTATGTCATTTTCCATGTTGGTGCTTTCAATCCTCGTATTTCAAAAGAGTTTATTTCTTTGAGTAAGTTATATATCGCTGAAATAAATATTTCAGAGTAGCACATGCTCAGTGTCCATTACTTACCATTATTGTTTCCAAATTATGTGGACATTCTTGCTCAGGGGTAGCATGAGTCCGGGGCGAGCGGACACTTTTTTTTTTTTTTGGTCTCCAAATTTCAAAATTTGACATTTTTCTTCGTTGGGGGGGGGGGTAAGGTCACCTTTTTTAGGTTAACCGTGGGTATAATTTTTTTTTTTTTTTTTTTTTTTTTTTTTAATAATTAAAAAAACAAAAAACAAAAACAAAAACAAAAGGGGGGGGGTTTGGTTTTTTTTAGGGGGGTTTACACACATAAAAATACCAAAGGGGGGGGGGGTTTGAACCCCCAAACCCCCCCCCCCCCCTGCGTACGCCCCTGGTACTTTGTATTTCCTGTGGTACCTGATGTTACCACACGGAATACCACAGGAATATTCAGTACTACAGCCTCTTGAGGTAATATCACTACACTCCTGTGGTGTAATGTCAAAGGCTGTCTGTGGTACTTTGTATTTCCTGTGGTACCTGATGTTACCACACAAAAAAACACAGGAATATTCAGTACCACAGGAACTCTTGAGGTAATAACTAGACTCCTGTGGTATAATGTCAAAGGCTGGCTGTGGTACTTTGTATTTCCTGTGGTACCTGATGTTACCACACGGAATACCACAGGAATATTCAGTACTACAGCCTCTTGAGGTAATATCACTACACTCCTGTGGTGTAATGTCAAAGGCTGTCTGTGGTACTTTGTATTTCCTGTGGTACCTGATGTTACCACACAAAAAACACAGGAATATTCAGTACCACAGGAACTCTTGAGGTAATAACTAGACTCCTGTGGTATAATGTCAAAGGCTGGCTGTGGTACTTTGTATTTCCTGTGGTACCTGATGTTACCACACAAAAAACACAGGAATATTCAGTACCACAGGAACTCTTGATGTAATAACTAGACTCCTGTGGTATAATGTCAACGGCTGGCTGTCAGTGGTACTTTGTATTTCCTGTGGTACCTGATGTTACCACACAAACTACCACAGGAATATTCAGTACCACAGGAAATCTTGAGGTACAATATCACTACACTCCTGTGGTATAATGTCAAAGGCTGTCTGTGGTATTTTGTATTTCCTGTGGTACCTGATGTTACCACACAAAATAACACAGGAATATTCAATAACACAGGAAATCTTGAGGTAATAACTAGACTCTTGTGGTAATGTCAATGGCTGGCCGTGCTAAGTTTATATTTCCTGAAGGTACCACACAAAATAACACAGGAATAGTCAGTACCACATTTTTGGGGTCATATTTTCTCTATATTTCTAGAGTATTTTCCCAGCAACATGGATATTTTTCAAGTATCCTTTTATTACTTATTTGAATTCATAATATACTTAATACATTTCTTTTTTTAACTAGTTTTCCTCCTTTCACAATTTCTTGGCTAGTTGTCCAATATCTTTATAACTTATTTGAATTCATGATATGCTTAGTATACTTCTATTTTTAAACTACTTTCCCTACTTTCATAATTTCTTGGCTGTTTTTCCAGTATCTTGATTTTATTACTCATTAATATACTTAATTAACATCTATTTTTTAACTAGTTTTTAATCTTTCATTACATGAGTAATGTGTACTACGCCTTTCGCGTTAGGTAGGCCTACATCGTATCTAAATACATTTTGATTCGGAGCAGAATTCAGCACATGTTTAGCCGAACAGGCTTAGACCCTAAGTTTTATATTCGTAATGGCTTTGGAGCCGATAGGGCCTGCTAATTCCCAGTTATAGGTAAAGAGGCCATCCGGTGATATAGGTAAATCCATGAAAATAGGCTAAAGATAGCTTTTCATTATATCGGTGGTTCCTCCAGGTATTTTTGAGCAAAGCATATCACTACAGCCAGGCGTCATTTTTACAAGCGCACACTTGCTAATCTAAACACATTAGCTTTTGCATCCTACCGGATACCCATTTGAAACCTGGGTGAAAACCTGAGTGGCAAATGTAGATCAATGTCTTGCCAAAGGACAGTAGTGCCGCGGAACTTGAACCGCGGACCTTGTGATCCACAGTCCGGTGGCATATCCACTCGTCCACGACACCTCCATACACAGACTCACACTAAGACTAAGGTTCACGTTCATTTATTTTGTGTCAGGACAATTCTGGGAGCGGCTATGAGCACAAAATATTATCCATTTTGAACAGACTTATTGGCCCGAATACACAAAGCAAGGTTTGAGCTCAAACCTCCTTTTGTTTCGCTAAACCTCCTTTTGTTCTTTACAAACCAGGTTTGTAAAAAAAATGCGTAAAACGCGTCATATGACGTTTAAAACGGACGTTCATGGCTTAGATCTATCATTCTTCCTTAGTGGATAGAATTAATCCAGGGACTCAATAAGAAACAGATCGATGACGTTCTACCTTTTCATCATGTGACCTATGTACTACACAACAAAGTTTGTTAGTTCTAATTTTAAAATTTCCTGACCGTGTTCAATTGAATAGACATCATCCATCATGTAGTCAAATGTTTTTATTTTTACACAAATCACTGGGCATGACGTTTTACAGATGATTAATGTGGACAGAATAATTCGTGCCTCTCATAATCACAGAACTAACAACTGGACAAAGCGCAGATTCTTCATAACTCAAAACATGGTGAGTTTGTGACAGATGTATTGTCGTTCTCCCATGAGAAAGTTTGCTTCGAAAGCCTTTCACATTGTTTGACCTAAATGAAGAGAGCTAATTACACATCAGTGGCCCATTTAGCATTTGATGGGTGGTTACTTCTTTGTGTGAAACTAAAATTAAGTTGTCAGTCACTGTCCACCAACTTATATTTGTTATTAAGGTTGTTAATTCAGGGCAGCAGCTTCAGATCATGTTGAGTCCACATTTGAAACAGACGTAAAACTTGTACATGGTCACTTTAAACAATCGTATTCGATGCGCCAAATGTCACTTGCTTAGATTTAGATCAACGCAAATCCATATTTCTGTCAACGGAATGGTAAACTTCAGTTGCATTCCTCCAACTCGGCCGTGAGTGGTAGTTTTTACCAGCGACTTCAGCTTGGAGCCACCGGCTCTCTTTGAATAAATCGACGGACTAGCCTTTAGAATTCCTTACTGGTAGTATTGATCGAGACAGGCACCTACATCGTTTTTCTGGTACATTAAAAATAAACCAGAGCAGGCAGTTGAAATGGCAACAGGTGGGACTGTGGCACCCGAATTCATAGAGCCTGATGCCTGTAGGATCCTAATAACTATTATGACTATTGTTTTAAACACGATCGTCCTGCTTGTTATTAGACGCCAAAAGGAGCTTCAAGAATACATGCGAGTTCTTTACCAGATACTTGCTGTATCGGATATGATTTTAGGAAACACTTGGAACCTATGGAACATGATCTGGAATCGAAGTTCCAACGAGAAGATTTGTACTATCGTAAGCATGACTTTCCCCTTTGTGCATCAGGTGGCTGTAATATCTGCAATGGCTTGTCTCAGTGGGACCTGTTTCAATCTTTATCTTCTCGTCACGAGGCCTTTGCGCTATTATACGATTGTAACAAGAACCCGATTCTACACCACAGTTGCCTTGACATTCTTGGTGACTTTACTAATCTCTGGAATATATTTGCCTATTCCAGATTCACCTTTTATCAAACTCTTGGTTGAACGTTGCATAGCGAGTGAAAACGGAGTAAAGAATAAGTGGGCTTCAATCGTTCACACTGTTATGCAAATCTTCCCAGTTTGTCTGTCAATGCTTTTTACAACAATATTCTATATAAAACTGCTGATCATCGCATGTCAAGTCAATAAGGTTGTAGCCATTCCTGAGAACCCCCGTGTCCTTGCCAACAATGTTAACATGGAGAATCGCAATCACTTTACAGAAGACCGTCGTCGCAGTGACACGCCGGAAAATGCGCAAATTCGCGTTGTACGGAACGACAACGTAAATTTTGATCGGTCGCGCAAAAGAGGGTTGAAAGGTTTCCTTACAGTATTTCTTTTAACAGGTTCGTTCTATTTTGGATGGCTACCTTACGTCGTCACATACGTGATACCATTTCATATTACTATAAAAAATAGCCTCGACATTTTATCAGGGAGCAGCGCATGCTTACAGCCAGTAATCTACCTGTTGACCAACGCTGAAGCAAGATGCATATGCTTGGAAGCTCTCCGTTGGTGCTTCAAAAAAATGACATGTAAGAAAGTTTGAATGTTTTACAGCGAGTTTGATGCTAAAGACTCCACCAAAGTAAAGACGAAGAGCCAATTGAAAGCTGGGTACTTGACTGATACTAAACGTCTCCATGTTAACGTTAATTGCAATGCAAGTGCTCTACGATTAATTCTAAACTTTCCTTGAAATTCTGAGTTGTGATAATGATATATGATATTTTTCCATCGTGACTATATATTAAATCAGGGGCGTACGCAGGATTTTTTCAAGGGGGGGGGGGGGGGGGGTTTAGAGGACACTTTTTTTTTCTTGATCTCGAAATTTGAAAATTTGACATTTTTCTTCGTTGGGTGGGGTAAGGTCACATTTTTTAGGTCAACCATTGGCATAATTTTGTTGAATAGTTGAATAACCCATAAGAAAATAAAGCAGGACTCCCACTTAGCCGAGTTGTATCAGCGAGTTAAGGCGAGTTGTGGTGAGTTGCCTTAAAGAGGCACTCGCAATAACTCGCGAAAGCTCTTCTTGTAACTCGGGATAACTTGCGACAACTCGGTATAGTTCGGCGTAACCCTTTACAAGATTCCACGACTCTCCTTGAAGTCGCGAGCAGTTCCAACATTTTGGATTCGTTGTAACTTGAGGTGAACTCGTACACTCGTAATATACTCGCATTACTCGTAACAAGCTCCCACTGCACTCTTCATAAGGTGGTGAGTTCCTACGAGTTATGAAGAGTGCAGCGCGAGCTTATTACGAGTAATGCGAGTATATTACGAGTGTTAAGCAAGTTCA